TTAAAATTTCTGGTTTGTTTTATCTGAGCCTACCCAAAATACATTAGGTTCTCTAAGACTTGAGACCTTTTATTGCTTCTGAAATGTAATAGAATATACATTTTAGGAGCACATATATTTGACACAAATTAAAATGTGTTGAAAATGAATAGTTTCTGATTTCACTTCTATACCTTGGCAAAGCAGGAAAATCTGGTATGCTTAATAGAAAATACAATGATTTGGGAGTGGTGGAAAATTGATCCCAGTTGGGGAAGAATAACTCTAAAATTTATCCCCTTCACAGAGAAGGCCAAAATATAAAGAAAGGAATATGGGAGTTGGGAGGAGAGAAGAGCCCCCTGATGTTAGCCAGCTAAAGAGTAGCTCATGTCATTTTTATTGTAAGTTACTTTAAGTCTGTGTATTCTGTAGAAATAACAGTAAGGTGGATGATATTATACTGTTCTCATAGAAATTCTGTACCTGTACATGTATTCTACTGAGCAATTTTTTTTTTTTTTTTAGGTTTTGCCATAGGACACGTGCACTCACCAGAGAGAGACAAAGAGATGGAAAGAGAAAAACACCCTCCAGGGGGATGGCCATGCTCAATCATTTCTCCTCCATTATTTTCTCAAGATTTTGGGCATGCAAGCACATGTGCCTGGTATGAGTTTCAGGACACCAGGTCTAGGACTCAAGCTGTGGTTGGTCATGTGGGAATTCAGCTCTTTAACCACCACACCACCTGCTGGGCCCCTACTGGGCAAAATTTTAATTTGCAAACTGATATCCTAGGATAATTGGTTACTTTCTTAAAGGCTTCACAAATCATTGAGGGTGATGAGAGAAAAGGTTACTTTAATAATTGCAGAATACAACACATAGGTTTAATGTAGGTATGGAAAATAGATTAATTCTGATGTTTAAAAACATAGAAAACTCTTAAGTCTGCATAATTGAAGTAAATTTTTGGTGGTCTTTAAACTAAGTTTTAGGAATTCAGTGTTATCCTTCCCTCTGATTAACTGGGAAAAGAAACGATACAATTATGCCAACATACACACACACACACACAAACACACACACACACTCACACAAGAAAAACCTAAGGGGACAAACGTTATTGATAATAATTATCTTCCTCTGGTGTTTCAGTATCTCTCTGGAATACATCCTATATTTCTTTGCATAAAAATAAGCTGTAATATTTATCAGTATTTTCAATGTCCTGTTTTCATGTTGGCCATTTAGTCTGTAAACTGAACAATGTATATTTTCATGTAAATATGTGCTGCATTCAATTGTTAGTATTTTGCCTATAGAAAGATCCCACTTGTCAGTATCTTTGGCTTATCTGGAGCAGTATTTGTCTTTTGAAACATCTCTTTCAGAAAAAAAGAATCAAGATGATCTACAGAATATTTTGTAGCTCTTCTCCTTGAGAACTTTTTTCTTCAGCATCAGTTGCTTTAGTATAGAAGCTTTAGCTGGCATAGTAAAAGTTAGGAAGTTTCATAATTTCTTCCTCATTCAGATGTAAGTATTTTTCACAAGGGCCAAATGAAGATGAAAAGATTATTTATCTAAATGTTTGGATGTAATTATTTGAATATAAAGCAGCCTCTTTGAGAATGCTATGACACATGGCCATCATTATCAAAGTGAAATATTTCTTTTTATGTATTAATAACTCATTGAAGAATTTTTTGTTGGTTATTTAATAAGAAATATTAAGTAATGGCTTAGTGGAAGAGTGTATGTTTTAGACAATATTCCTTAAAATTCTAATCCTCAAGATAATTTGAAATTTGTTTGTGTTTATACGTCATGAAGTAAAGCGAACTTCTGGAAGGCATCCAGTTAATTTTTATAATATAGGGAGACCAGATAATGTTCTTTGAATACTCTTCCATTCCTTATCAATGTCTTTTCTATATTTCTACACAACTAATGCTCAGGAAAATTGTTATAGGTGTTCATTTCAACAAGTCAAAGAAAAGAGATATACAGGGCTTGAGTCAATATGGATAGTAAGAAAATTAGTAGGTACGTGAAGCTGCACTTTTTATTTATTTATTTGTAGCACACTGTATAAGTTCAAAGTAGAGCAAAAAGTACACTTAACTAAATATTATGATATACTTGTGCTCCACAGACACTGGAAAAGAGTAAACATGGATGACTGTTATTTGCTTTGAGTCCTTAGACATGCTGAAGCTGAGACCCCTTAAATGTGATATCTATCATTTCTCTCCTGTTAAGTAAGCCATGAAAGTTGAGGTGACAGTGTCTTTCTTGAACTATTCCAACATACTAAACGAAAATACCCGTAGGAAAAACACCACATCCTAACAAAAGTGCTTTCTAAAGGGTACATTAATTTTATTTTTCACAGTCTCTCTCTCTCTCTCTTTTTCCTTTGTAGCAGTTATATGCTGCCCAGCTAGCTGCAATGCAGGTCTCTCCAGGAGGCAAGCTCCCAGGCATACCCCAAGGCAACCTTGGTGCTGCTGTATCTCCTACCAGCATTCACACAGACAAGAGCACAAACAGCCCACCACCCAAAAGCAAGGTACCCTTCTGAAGAAGCTGTCTGTCTTGCCACATACAGTTTGACTTTTTATTCAATGATGTTTATTGATTATGTCTTATATACCAGCAATTAGACTAAAGTCTGGGTATACAATAAAGTCAGAATTCAGTAGAAGCAATATAGACACATTTAAATTTACATATATACATTAGTCATTCATTTATTCAACAAACTTGTATTGGTAGCTGAGAAATGTGAATGATACAAAGATCTATCCGATGAGTGCTCTGTAACCAAAGAGCTTAAAATCTTCTAAAGTAAATGCAGTATTAATAAAATAGCCAAATAGCCATACTCTCTGATATAAAGTAATAAATTTTATAAAGAGTCATGGATGATGTACATTCAAAATGAAAAAGTGATTACACAATGAGAGATCCTAGCAAAGGTTTGCCAAAAGGACAACAGAGATAGACAATGTGTAAATAGGATTAGGAGATATGAAAATTGAGATTTTTTTTGGTATCAATAGGTATTATGATGTGGTTGGGTACAATATAGCTATAATTTTAGATATATCACCCCTCCAATGAGATTATCATATAAAGAAATAAAAATGATAATAGCTTTAGAAATACAACTGTTAAGAAATAGTTTTGCTTTTAGAGCTAAGAAAACATTTCCTGAGAACACTTAGAAAAAGGTCAGATGAAATTCAAACAATGTACTTCTCTTAGCTTCAAAGGAGAAAGAAGCAAAAAAATTTACTTATATATTCTTGTAATTGTTAAGATTTTACTTAAGTGATGAGTGAAAATATAAAATTTTCTATAAATAAAGGACAGTGTCCACAAAGTGGTGTTCCCCGAGTAATGCATTAGAAAATAGTAAGTAGAAAACTGCCACAGTTAATTTACGACCCTCCACCCATAACAAATTTTTTTGGGGAGGGGCACTGAATTACTTAGAAAATCACTTCTGTTCTCCATTTATGAATTCCATGTTGAAATAGAATAAAAAGGTAACAGTAGTCACGAAAGTTTAAAGAATACCCTGAGAAAAAGATTAGAAAATGTCGAAGGAGAAAAATCCAACCATTTTCTTTCTCTTTCTCCAGTACATGCTCTACCAGCATGTACCTGTTGGAATAGTACTCCAGAGAGCCAGGGGAAGGAGAAAAGATCAGTCAAGAACTTGGGAAAGTCTCCATTTTTCTAGAACTCCCAAGTCCATTTCTAAATTATTAGGAGAGAATTACATTTGAGAGTGTAACTCGACCGGGATGGGGACCTTAAACCATAATTCACCAGCATATATACGCAAAAATAGAGTGAGCAATGTTGTACAGACTACATTGACAGAGGGTATGCGTGTGTCCCTTTTAGGATCCATTTCTGCTGTTTAATGGACCTTGCATGTTCTGTGCTTAATGTATATCAAAGGCCTTATTTGCTTTTCTTTATAATCGTAGCAGCATGTAAGTTTTTAAAATTCCATAATAATTAAACGTTTATTAGATCAAATTTAATTTTAAAGCAGGAATATGTTGGTGTCTCTGTGGATCCATACCGTCAGTGTACTACATGTACGGACTGATAGAATAAATAAATAGCTGTACCAGCTAGTCATTGGCACACACAGTTATCTCTGTGACGTATTATTCCCCATGTTTTCCAGGACTTATTTAATATGATGTCACATAATGTTTCTTTCTTTTTTTTGGGGGGGTGTGGGGGGAAGGTTGCTATAGGGCATGTGCACTTGCCAGAGAGAAACAGAGACAGAAAGCAAGAAATCACCACCAAGAGGGGATGACCATGCTGCATTCCCTTCTCCTCCACTTTCTTCTTTGGATTTTGGATATATGTGCACACATGCCAGGCATTTTTCAAGCCACTGGGTCCAGGGCTTAAACCGTGGTTAACTATGTGGGAGTCCAGCGACATAATCGTTACACCATCTGCTGGTCCCTTACATCATGTTTCATAATGATGTTTTATATTAGGACATTTCACCTTAAGATTATAAGGTATGTAGTCCTCTTTTAAATGACTAATGGATTTTTTCCTTTGCCTGTAGAATAACTTTTTAATAACCTCTAAATATTTTCACACAAAATCACTTACACAAATAAGCATTAAACTCTTTTTTTTTTTTGAGAGGTTTTTGCTACAGGGTGTGTGCGCTAGCTGGAAAAACAGAGAGACAGAGAGACAGAAATTGAGAAATCACCTCCCGGGGGGGTGGCCATGCTGCAATCCCTTCTCCTCCATTCTCCTCTCAAAATCTTGGGCACACACACACATGCGCCCGGCATGTGTTTAAGCCACCGGTTCTGGGTCTCGAACCATGTTCGACTACATGGGAATTCAGCAACATAGCCATTACGCTAACTGCTGGTCCTAGCATTAAACTTTTGACATTGATCATCATCATCATCATCATGAGAGCCAGCAGATAGTGTAGCAGGTACATTGCTGTACTCTCACATAATCAACCACGGTTCTAGTCCCAAACCCAGTGGCTTGAAACTCATGCCAGATACTTATGTGTGCGTGACTGAGAGGAGAATGAAGAAGAGATTGCGGAGTGGCCATGACCCGTGGGGGGGG